CCCCACTTTCCACTCCTGATCCTACCCCACTTTAGCTCTGTCCATGTGTCCTTTATACATGTTCCTTGATAATTCTTCCCCTTTTGTTCCCTCCCCCTGCCCCTCTGGTTACTGTCAGTTTTTTTTTCCTTTATTTCAATGTCTCTGGTTGTATTTTGCTCACTTGTTTGTTTTGCTGATTAGATTCCATATAAGTGAGATCATATGGTATTTCTATTTCATCACCTGGATTATTTCACTTAGCATAATGCTCTCCAGATCCATCCATGCTGTCTTGGAGGATAGGAGCTCCTTTTCCCTTGTGCTGTGTAGTATTCCATTGTGTAAATGTACCACCGTTTTTTGATCCACTCATATTGATGGGCACTTATGTTGCTTCCAGCACTTGGCTGTTGTAATTTGTGCTGCTATGAACATTGGGGTGTGCAAGTTCTTTTGAATTTGTGTTTCAGGATTCTTAGGATATAGTACCAGCAATTCCATTGCTGGGTCAAAAGGCAGTTCCATAGTTTTCTGAGGAAATTTCATACTGTTTTCCACAGTGACTGCACTAGTCTGCATTGCCACCAACAGTGTACTAGAGTTCCCTTTCCTCCACAACGTTGCCAGCACTTGTTGTTTGTTGATTTGGTTATGATGGCCATTCTGACCAGTGTGAAGTGGTATCTCATTGTGGCTTTAAATTGCATCTCTCTGATAGCTAGCCATGGTGAGCATTCTTTCATATATCTCTGGGCCTTCTGTATGTCCTCCTTGGAGAGGTATCTGTTCAGGTCCTTTGCCCATTTTTTAATTGGGTTGTTTGTCTTCCTGGAGTGGATTCATGTGAGTGCTTTATATATTTTGGAGATCAAACTTTTGATAGTTAGTTAACATTAGCTACAATTTTCTAGTAGTAACATTAAAATGTAGAAAGACCTGGCTGGCGTAGCTGACTGGATTGAGCGCAGGCTGTGAACCAAAGTGTTGCAGGTTCAATTCCCAGTCAGGGCACATGCCTGGATTGCAGGCCATGGCCCTCAGTAACCGCACATTGATGTTTCTCTCTCTCTCTTTCTCTCTCCCTTCCCTCTCTAAAAATAAATAAATAAAATCTTTAAAAATAAAATAAAATGTAAAAAGAAATAGGTGAAAATAATTTTCAAAGTATATGTTGTTTAACCCAATATATCTAAAGTGTTATTATTTCGACATATGACCTATTAGAAAAAATAAGATATTATGCATTAATTTTTTATGTTAAGGATTCAAAACCTGGTCACATATCATTACAATACATGTCAATTCAAACTAACCACATTTTGAGGGCTCAATAGCCATGTGTAGCTGGTGGCCACCATATAGACCATGTATACACATAGACAGTGTAGTTTTATACTTAAGCTTAAAGAGCTGCAAACATCTATACTTTTGTCATTTTGAAATTTTTACTCAAAGTCACAGTCTTTGAGAATGTCAAAAGACAGCTAAAATGATTTACTGGATAATGTTCTAACACTTGTTATAATCATGCAACCATCATTTTTTTTATTTTTCCAAGTCTTGAATTCTTGAACAACTGTGAAATAAATCTATTAAAAGTTATCTGGGCTCTAGAGTATTGCTACTAGGCAAACATGTCCCCAGAATAAGTGACTGTAAAAGTAATCTTATTTAAAATGAGATTTTATTATACATTCAAAGTTTATTTATTCATGTTCATGCTTTTGACTTGTGGATTACATGGCATATCCATCTGCTGATGAAATTTAAAACCAAGAAGGGAATATTAGATCAGGCTCAAGAAATTACAGTAATAACAATTCTTAAGTTTTTAGATTTATTTTCTATGTTGCATTTAAAAATAAAATGTTATTATATACCTACACTTTAGTTGTAATAGGTGCTCAAAAATACTACTTGAATAAATGAAGAAAGTAATTATCCACTCTTTAGTAAATGACATCCATATTTAGATTCCACTCCAGAAGAAATTGTTTTTTTCTGATATTTGAAGATGAGATTTGGTCAAAATTTTTCCAAAACAGTCATCTTGGTTTTATAGAGGCTGTCACTAGTGGGCATCTAATCTAGTGGTTTTCAAACTTATTATATGTTCCCTTAGAGCAATGAGAACATTCCTTGAAGCACTTGAGCACAAATAGGTTTTTTTAATACTTTGTTTATTTTTAGAGCACGGGGAAGGGAAGGAGAAAGAGAGGAAGAGAAACGTTGATCAGCAGCCTCTCACATGCCCCCAAATGGGGACCTGGCCTGCAACCCAGGCATATGCCCTGACTGGGAATCAAACCATTGACCTTTCAGTTTGGGAGATATCCCCCAGCCCACTAAGCCACACCAGTCAGGAGAATAAATTTTTAAGATATAAAGTGACCACAAATTTTGGTTGCTTAAATAGCTTTTTCAAGTGTGCACCTTGTTTAACTGTGTCTCTGTTATACCATTTTTTCATCTTTTAAACAATCTTATTCACTCACTTTACCAAAAAATAAAACTTAAAATTTAGAAAAGGGGGGAAAAGACTATGCATAGCTTTTAATGTAATTGGAATCATTTCATGATATACCACAATGTGTAAAACTTTCTGAGAAACCAAAGAAACTTCTGAAAATATTGGCATAGATTTTGATAAGGTGAATGACAGCTATGACTGGGTAATGTACTCTGGTTAGGATGAATGGTATCAATTCCATTGCTTTCAACAAAAGTGAAAAGGATCCAATGGAATTATCATTTATTAGGTTTTTCAAATAATATTTGATGAGAGTACATTACCTGGTTCTTGTCTTCCAAAAGTATTTTAAAATGGCACTGAACAATGATAAAATGATTTCTATAACATTTTATGTTATAAATAACATAAACATGATAAACCTATCAGCATTAAAATTTACATAAAAGAAAGAAAAGAAATAGGAATTGAATTGTTGCTGAACTGTTTCTCATTTGTTTAATAAACAATATTCACGTTTGGATTAAAAAAAGCCCATGCATCTCATTAAGAGATGGGTTTCCAATTAAATGTTACTTTTATTATATCAAAAATTATATTACACTTATACTATATTTGTTATATACTAATCAATATTGAGAAATTAACTCAATACAGACTATATATTTTAAATAATGCTTTATGAACCACCAATTTTTAAACATCAAATTTAAGTATATATACATATTTTGTTGCAAAAATTATGATAAAGAGATGATTAAAATAGTTTCAACATAAAAATACATTATATGGTCAAAACTCTTTGATGGAAGTAAAATAAAAATTTAAGTTCAAGAAAAAAGGAACAACTATAAAATATGTGAATGTTAAAGAATGTGCTTGTGAAACAGAAATGATTCAGAGATGGAGATGGAGAACATATGAGAGTTACTTGGAGCAGTGAGTTACTTGGAGGGATTGAGTAAAAAAGCAAAAGGACTCATGGATATGGACAACAGTATGGTGCTTGCTGGGGGCACTAAATGGTAATGGAAAAATATAATAAAGATTATATATGTTAAAAAAGAATGTGCTTGTGCATTTAAAAATTTTGTCAGATATCAAAACAATGTATTCATATTTCATCAGATATTTTAAAATATGATATATTGATTTATTTTAAATGGACTATTTTACAGTATGTCCCAAAATGCATGCTCAACCACTATGTAAATTTACAGTGAAAATGTTAGATGTCAGCCTGAAAATGCATGAGAAGATACAGTTATTTTTCCATTAGTTATTTTTGAGATTACATACAAATGTGGCAATCACTGTTCTACACACACTGAGTTCAAAAAAGAGCCACTGTGTAAATGGGACCTTAATGAGTCTGATGAAGTTGGGAAAATATAATATAGTGAGAAAAATATTTACATTGTCATTGGAGGGCCTGAGGTGACAGAGGCTGAAAATATGAGTCCAGTTTCTGACCAACCAGCACAGTCTTATCAATCCACTCTACATAAACCTATGTTGCTTAGATGTGAAAATCTTTTCCATTTAACAAAAGGTCTTCAGAAAACCACAGAGAGCGGAGACAACTGTGCTTGAACAACAAGAAAAAAAGGAAGAAATAAAGAAAATCATAGACAGCTGAAAGCAGAAACAAGCAGTGTCAACTACACCTTTGTGGACAAGCTTGAGGAGGAGTGGATTGAAGGAAAAGATAAAAACGGAAAGATTATTGAAGTCTGAAGGGACAGGGGGAAGGGGAACAGGAATAATGAGACACAGTAACAATTTGGTGCTTTAGCTGAGATTCTTAGGATCTGAAACCTGGGCCTGTGAGGTTGTCTATATTTTGCTTTGTGCCTAAGTTGAGGCCATTTAGTCACACGTTCCTCATTCTCAGAGTCTCCTGATACAAAAATTCTCGGGGTAGAGACCATTTTATGGTGAGTCATAAGGACAGTTGGCTCCTTTCATAAAAGAAGGGAGGTTGCCTTATAAGTAAGTTTCCCATATAATTTATCATTTAAACAAGAGAAATTCGAGAGGGGGAGTGCTATTAATAATGATGTTGAGGAAAATAAGTGTAAATCATGACTATCTGGGGAAAACCAAAAAGTGTGCTCATCTTAATCAAAGGTAGGTCTTTAGGATGATCCTCTTTTATTGGGGAAGATGCTTAGTCCCAGCCTAACCCACCAAAACAGAAATTTGTTTTATTTCATTTCAAATATCATTAAGCCTCCTATCTTTACTGTCAGCTATTTGCTAGGCTCTTATTCTAAGAGTTTTAAGAAGAAAAGAAAAGAAATTTATGATCTCTTCTTTCAGGCTAATCAAATCTATTAGAGAAGGTGTCCACGTGTGCATTGACATTGATAAAATGTGAGATAGGAACAGCTGGGGATACCTTTTGTGATTCAGATTTAAGCCTGTGTTAACAGTTTGAATATCTTGTTTCTATTCTTCCTCACAATGCTGGTGTAGAGCTTTGTCTACAGCAGAAACACCATCAGAGTTTATGGACTGATTCAAAGTCCCTGCCCCCTTGGAGTACTCAGAACAATTCTCTCTTGCAGGAAAATAAGCCAGCAATTCCCTGTCGAATTGGCTTGGTCTTGACACTGTAGATGATGGGGTTGAGCACAGGAGGCACAAAGAGGTAGATGTTGGACATGAGGGTGTGGATCAGGGGTGAGGCATGCTTGGCAGCACGGTGCATCACAGACACACCAATCATAGGCACATAATACACAAGCACTGCACAGATGTGTGACACACATGTGTTGAGAGCCTTCCGCCGTCCCTCCCCAGAAGCAATGCCCAATACTGTGTAAAGAATCAGTATATAAGAGATCACAATAAGCAGTGAGTCTAGCCCAAAAGTGGCCAGGACAATAGCCAAGCCCAGGATGCTATTGAGCTTAGTGTCAGCACATGGCAGCTGGATCAGGTCTGAGTGGAGGCAGTAGGAGTGAGAGAGGATATTAGTGTGGCAGTAGGGCAGTCGCCTCAAAAGGACTGGAAGGGAGGCCATGAGCGTCACACTCTTCAGTGTAATGCCCAGACCCATGCAGATGATGCGGGGCAGAGTTAATATGGCTGTATAGCGCAGTGGGTTGTAGATAGCTACAAAGCGATCATAACTCATGGCCAAGAGGACCCCTGATTCCATGCAAGAGAAAGTGTGAATGAAAAACATCTGAGACAGGCAGCCATCAAAGTCAACCTGGAAGGCATTAAACCAAAGAATGCCCATGACAGTGGGCAGAGTAGACACAGAGACACCCACCTCAGTCACAGCCAACATAGACAGAAACAGGTACATGGGCTCCTGTAGGGCAGGGTTTGTCTGCACTGCTGCCATGATTAGGCTGTTGCCCACAATTGCCACAATATACATAGTGAAGAAGAGAATGGAAAACCAGCCATGTTGGGCTTCTAATCCTGGGAGTCCAGTCAGAAAGACAGATAGGAAATCAAGACTTTCATTGTTCTTGGCTCCCATATCACCAACAGTAGAGGTCAGTCTTCACCTGCCATTTGAAAACCAAAACAAAGTTAGTTCCCATCTATAGGGTCTTCTGCCTCAGCAGCCCACCTCAAAGACTGAAGGAGGGAGAGACAAGGAGGAAGGGAAAGTTAGTCATCTAGATTATTCTGAGTAAAAATATAACAGATACTTTCTTATCACCTCTTTTCTTTTTTTTATTGTTGTTCAAGTACAGTTGTCTGCATTTACCCTTCACCATTCTCCTCCCTACCCCAGCCATCCCCACCTCCCTCCCCTGATCCCACCCCCACCTTGGTTTTGTTCATGAGTCTTTATAGTTGTTCCTGAAAACCCTTCCCTCTTTTACCCCCATTACCCCCTCCCACCTCTCCTCTGGTTACTGTCAGATTGTTCTTAATTTCAAAGTTTCTGGTTATATTTTGCTTCCTTGTTTGTTTTGTTGATTAGGTTCTACTCTTTTTTTCTGAAAGAGTAGCAAGAATCTGAAAATTGTACATGTAATGAAGATATTGGAGACTCTATAATCTTTAAGGCATAACTTAAAAATTAAGAGCAGAAACTCAGGAATAAATAGGAACTAGATCAAAATCAATATTCAGCCAGTTATTAAATATGCCATCTGGACTAACTAATACTCTGATCCAAAGTTTGTTTGTTTGTTAAATTAGTAAAGTGGAGATCAAAATAACATTATTCTCTTATTTAGACATAAGAATCAAATGAAAAAATTAACATCCTATATTCAATGTTTTAGAACTCCACGATGGATTGTGGTGGACATTAGTTTGAATCCCAATTTGGAGTTTACTTGCTGTGGGACCTTGAACAGTTAATTTTCCCAAGCCTCTGTGTGTCCATTTGTAAACTAAGGATAAAAATACATCTGCCTTATGGTTGTTGTAAATGTAAACAAGATATTGCATGGCATATGAAATACTGAATATAAACTATTTAATTCTTAGGGAGATACTAAGACCAAGAGAGGAAGAGTGAGTAATGGACCAAAAACGTAAAACTCAGTTTCTGCAGAGCCTAGATTATAGTTTAGACCCCCTGACACTTCCTATAATGATGTTTCTACTTCACAGTGGAGATGGGAGTAAAACCAAAGCTTATCTAGAGGAATCATAAGAAAGAATTGAGTTGTAGCTCTGCCAATGTGGGGCTTAGAAAACAGGAACCCCTGGAAAAGTGATAATCTCTGTGTGTCCTACTTCACTCCAATGGGGGGATGTTTAAAATAAATGTGAAACACTGGTTTTAGAAAATTGAAAAATAGAAAACTATGAATAAGGGTGGTAAAGAATATGGATGTTCCATGACAATTATACTAATACACAAGGGACCTCTAAGTTTAAAAAGAGAGTTCAGGTCAAAGACATAAGGATAAGAGACTTCATTAGTGGCTAAGAAATTAGAATAAACTAGTTAAACCCCAACTAGAATGTGAAAATCATATATAATATAATACAATACAGTAAAAAGTAATATAATATAACATAACATTATATAATGAAATATAATAAGTCAAATTTGTAAAATAAATTTTAAAAATATGAAGTAGGATGTGAAGTTGCAATTGCTACAGAAGCTGAATTACCTCAAATCATCAGTTTATTCACTCACTTAACTTACTTGGATGTAGAATTCACAGATTCATTACCAGTTCTTTATCCTGCAGTTATCCAGTGTTGATGCGAAATGGTCCATAAAACTAAAGAGTTTAATGGAAATGCTCTCCTAGAATGGATAAACAGGAAAACAAACAGCTACAGAAATACAAAGATCTATGACTATGGAGACACACATGTACAACATAATAGTGACGATGGCCCCAGGACCTGGATTCTCTTTTACTCTTCACTTTCAAGCCCTTTCTTCATGCACCTTTCTTCAACTTCCCTACAGAAACTCCACACATTCTATCTCTGCTTCCCTCAAGATTAACAACCTCCTGAAAGGTGAAATACACTTGCTTGTGCCTTTTGTCCATTAATACCCCTTGCTTCTGCCTTGTAAATCAGTGGTTCTCAACCTTGGCTACACACAGTAACCACCTGCTGAGTTAAAATCCCACTGCCCAGGTAACACTCCACATAAATAAGTAGGCTCTCTGGATGTGGTATCTAATTATCAATATTTTTTAAAGCTCCCAAGGTGAATCCAAAGCTGAGAACCACTCCAGACTTATTTGGTGACATTTCAGTGACTTTATAGTGACAGTGTTTTAAATAAAAAAGTAAATTGTAAGTACTCCCAAGTCTTCCTTTTTTTCTTGTTTTTCAGATAACCTACCTACTTTACTCCTGACCTGTGGCTTAAACATTCCTCTGTATTTTACCAAGTGCTAGATTTCTCAGCATCCTGGAGCTCTTTTAAATAAACTGGTTTGCTCACAATACCCTAAGGTGGTCCCCACAAAGGTAACAGGTTTGGGGCCTAGCCTTGCATGTCACTTCCTTGGAGGTCCACCAAAAGTCAGAAAAGGGTTTTGTAGGAGGATTTTGAGGTTTTACCTAATTATCTCACCAAAGTGCAGTATAGGACTACCTCATCTGAGATTTCCTGCCACTGGTAAAACCTCATCTTGGGCAAGAAGGAACAGTAAAGGCTTGGAAACACTAGCCATGACCCATGTCACGGTGAGAAACATGCAAGATGGGGAATGGGAAGGGTAAGAGAGCATAGCTACAGGAAATTGATCTACTCTTTGGGTGGTAAAAATGATAATCAGAGAGGCAACTGCCTCACTACCAAGTTCCCTCATATCAATCCCATAACAACCATGTTACGTGACTTGCTTCAAACCAGTAAGTGGCTAAGCTGGGACTAGAATCTAGTTCTTCCAACTGTAGGTCCAGTGGTCTTTTCTATGAAGTCCAGCAGCCAGCTGTCTGAAGCTAATGCTACCTAAGTAGGAAGAATGAGCAGATACTGGAGAAGTTGATCATTTTTCTTTTCATAGAGAAGAGGACAAAATGGCAGACAGAATTTTTTCCTGCTTTGTATGCCACCTGGGTATCAGATAGAAGAGACTGGGAGTTAAGTGATCTTCTAAAGTGGCCTCCTTTCAGAAGTCCACTTATCCAGCTGTCAACTTGACAGGCTTTCTAGGACCTCAAACCAGAGTCCAATCTTACACCCATTGAGAGAACCATCTCTGCCACATCCATATCAATTGTCACCCACACTCAGCATAAACACTCCCAGTGCTGGGTAGCTCATTGCTCCTAAAGCCATTATCCTGGTGAGATCACACTGCTTTATGAAGTTCTTTCTTATATTGAGCTTGAACCTACTTCTTCCACATCATGCATAATGCTGTAGACACAGAGACGTGATCATTTTTTTTAGGTTTCACGTAAATATTTTTCTTCACAGCATCTGCATTTTCTTGTAAAACACATCTTAATTTGTAAACATGAATGTACTTTTGTAGTTATTTGTTTAATGCCTGTATTCCCTAGCAGACTGTAAGCTCCATCAAAGTAAGGTTGATACTGACTGCTTTTTAAAAATGTTTTGATCACTAAATATTCAATGCTAGCACAGGGCCAAGCATATAGCAGATGTTTAGTAAACATTTAATTGGATTAACAAATAACTGAATAGATAAATAGTATCTGAAAATTCCAATCACAATACCCTGAAATCTTCCCTTCTTCAGATTATCTATCCTAAATTCCTTCAGTTACTCAAAGTCTCTGATTATTAGTTTTCTCACCACAAGTCCTTCTGTCAGAATGTAAGCTTTCTTTTTCTCTGCTAACATTGTCTTTCACTTTCTTCTTAGTTTTTTTAAAACTCTTACTGTTATTCATACTCAAATTATTATTTTACCTCCAGCATTTAAACAGAAATAATAAGCTTCTCATCTCTGCCTCCATACTATTTTATACAGACTTCCTATTTTGTTAGAATTACATTTATACTTTTGCTCTCCCTGTCATAGTTTGGGCTTGATTAGAGTTAGACTGTGCCTAGTTCATCCTTGTCTTCATAGCATTTCATGATTCTAACACAAAGACATGCTGAAGAGATGAAGAATTTAAAAAAGCATGAACATACTGTTCAGAACCATAACAGAACATTCACTACTGGGTTCCATATTCCAGTTCAGAGTTAAATCAACTGAGAGATACTCGAAGGCAAAGGGGATTGAATCAGTTAAAAGGCACTTAAGGCTCTTTCTGCTGCCATGCCATCTTGGTTCTGTGTTACCGCAATAATTGCCCATGAAGCCACAGAAACCATCCTGCTACAGAGCAGGAGTAGCCACAGCCCAGGCTGAGACAAGGTCTGGAGCAGAATCTGACAGTGATGAATCAGTGCCAGAGCTCGAGGAACAACATTCCACATAGGCAACCACACAATGAGCCCAGCAGGCGGCAGCAGCTGAACTGGATGAAAAACCAGTCAGTAAAGTAAAACAGAGCTGGAGTGGAATAAAGGCACAAATGGTTATATCCAAACTGTATCTTCAACAGGTTATAGGGGTCACTAGAGTCACTATCCAAGAATCTAATAATATTTTCTTTGTGGTCACAAAACCAGATGTCTACAAGAGCCCAGCTTCAGATATCTACATAGTTTTTGGTAAAGCCAAGACTGAGTACTTATCTCAGCAAGCACAACTAGTAGCTGCTAAGAAATTCAAAGTTCAAAGTAAAGCTAACTGTCTAAAACATTCAAGAAAACACACAGACTCCAACTGTACAAGAAGAGAGTGAAGAGGAAGAGGTTGATGAAACAAGCGTGGAAGTTAAGAATGTAAAACTGATCATGTCACAAGAAAATGTGTTGAGAGTAAAATCAGTCTGAGCACCAAGAATAGTAATAATATTGTAAATACTATTATGGAATTGATGGTGTGACCATCTAAAATTGAGGACCTTTTTGGTGTTTCAAAGGAGTAACTGCAGCTTAGTTTGAAATTATACAGTTCCTATCAATAAATTTACAGCTTCCTATGGGATTAAAATAAGCAGCACCTA